ACAGGTTTTGCCGCCGTCATGGGAGAAGATTACCGAAGTCGCAGAGAAAGCAATTTACGCTCACGACTCACGGGTGTTTTCGTGGTCGCGGCTGACGATTACCGATGTCGCAGAGACTGTAGGTTATGCTCCTCCCGATATCCGACCTTTCGGCCGTTCCAACCATGGCTCTGTCCCATCATGCTTGGATATGAGGTGTTCTACTGTAGATTGAAATTAATTTGCTGAATTTGATCAAAATATATGTAAAACTTATCCATAAATGAGCAAACTACATTCACTATACTAAATTAGAAGTTTTTCTAAGTTTAAAAAGATGGTTTGTCAAGGAATTGCAAAATTTTGTATTTTTAGGCTCAAAAATGGTTACATACAACCCCTCATGTAACCATTTTCCCATAGTCTGATCTTTGTGGTTTGCAAACTCGTTCGATTAAACATAGTTTTACATGTTAGCGCCCAATTTCGTCAAAATGGGTGATTTTTTCTTAAGTTATCATGCTAACGGACATAGCCCTACACATGTATATGCATCTTCTTAGAACATCAAAAGAAGAAAGTTTAGCGGTCAACATGGTCTCTGAGGCGCTGGATGAGAAGTTACTAGCCTACCAAATACTACTAATAGTTATTAATAGTTATTAAAAATTTAAATTACTAATAATAGTTATTAAAAATTTAAATTTACTACTGGGGAATTGACTCTGCTAACCACAAACTAATTATCTTCAAACTACCTCACAAACAGAAAGCAACCTACAGTAATTTTTTAAAAGTTTTTGTCCGGATGGAATACTAGCAGATACGGTGTTTGTCCAGGTTCCATCCTGGGACCAACACTATTCTTGATATACAGGGTGTCTCACCTAAAGTGAACCAATAGCTAACTTTTTTTTATGAGATAAAGAGTTAAATTCTCATGGGACACTCCCCTTTATTTTTTAGGGTGTGTTTTGGAATGGTTTAAAATTTTTTAAATATATCCGCCTTATTCCAATATGGTCGACAACTTAATTATTTCTTATGGAGCACCCTGTATTTTATAATTGTTTTAGGATGTAAATGCGATTTTAAAACATTTTTATTCTGTTGAATAAGTTAGGCCTGTATTCCGTCCCCGAGAACCATTCGTTAACGTGTCCCATTTTGTTTGTGTTTATGTGAGACAGACGACGTCCAAGCGACCGATAATGGCAATGTGATATACCAACAAAACACATCATACAAGTTGTATAGTAAATTTACGTTACATATTTATTGAATTTATTGAATGAAACCAAAGTTATTGATTGTCTCCGTTTTTAATAGTCATTGCATTAATTATATATGTTTTTATAATTTTTCCTTCAAAAATATTTCTTACCTGTTAAATATTGTTTACCTTCCATAGTTGCAGTGCCCGGGGCGGCCCTGGTATTGGGATGTGTGCCAGATTGTGGTAACAGTGATTACTATTACTCACACACTGTACATTTTTTCTTAGTGTTTTTAATTGTGTGGGAATTTTAAAAGGGTCACTGATTAGTGATTCTGATTACTTATAAAAAATCCCAACTAATATTAAGAAAATGCAACTTTTTTAAAACAGGGTTCCAACGTTTTTGGTGTGGCTTGATGACTCAAGAGCCAAGGCAGCAATTTTGGAAGTATAATTCCAAGACTATCACCAACTTTGATTACATCTGTAAGACCCAACTCCGAGTCTTCTGCACTTATTCTTTCAGGGCTTTCAGAAGCCAAAAACATTTATTGTTGAAATTTATTGTTTGTGTATATACTTGTATCCATAAGCATGATAGCTCTTGTAAAATTTATTAAATTTTGATATTTTGATCAAATTAAGCTGCGCGCGCACTAGGGCGGCACGGCAATTTTTAAAAGTTAATAACATGGAATGTAATACGAGTGCGCCCACTACGGCGGGACGGCCGGCAACAGACGATCGGCAGCTTCCGCCGTTTGTTAAAAAGTCCGGGAGACAGAACTCTAGGACATTTCCGAGCTGCCGTGCTGCCCGTACCGACCGGGAGCACTGCACACCGACCGGGCGGCACGGGACTTCTGCCATTCTCAACTGGTCTCTGTCAAAGTCGCAATGTTTTTGTGTATTGTATTGTATACTATGGTTACTAAACATAGATGTTAGTTAGTTTATTGTTCTCGTTGAGAAATATCCGAAACTGTACAACATGCGACATCCGGAATATTTTAATAACGTTCGGCGTGAAAATATATAGGTAGAAATAGGATCTATTATGAAACAATCAGGTAGGTTTTATACGTCATCCTCTACAAGATCAGGAAACAAGGTGTGGAACTCTCCGAAACTTAGTCTTTTCATGTTTATGTGGTGTATCAAAAATCTTTTCTTCCGCCTTCTTGTCTCCTCTTCCTCTGCTAAAATTAAACCTACTTTCACCACTTTATCTACGTCCATCTTTACTCACAAGTTTTAGCTCGCAGACTGTCGACTGTCCTATATTGCGGATGTCCCGTCCGTCCGTGCCGTGCCGCCCTAGTGTGCGCACCCCCTCTTAAAAATGCTGTCCGTGCCGCCGTAGTGCGCGCGTAGCTTAAGGGTATTTGGATAAGTTTTAAATAAAATAATTTTGATTTTTTTTCTTTGGGCCAGGATTTTAGTTTTTAAGACTGGGGCACAAATTGGTCATATTTTTAGAAATCTTCCAACTTTCAATAAAAATTATATATATATATATATATATATATATGGTATTTATATATATGGTATTTATATGGTTTTTCTGCAGCATTGAGAGTACATAACATGGTTAATTGTATTCCATGTTATCCATATGGAAAGTAAATTGAATTACTTGGCTTTAATGCGTTTCTAGAAAACCAGGGATATTTTTACTTTATTGTATGTTTTAAAAAAATCTATTCAGAAATACAAATTGTTATTGGCCTAATCCTTCTAGCAGAAATTCCAACCATTCACCCTGCTAATAAAACACAACTTAGCACTGGAAATGTGCTTACTTTGTAAATTTACTGCATCTGTACTTTACATTTCTGCTATCATGATGGTTTCATAATCACTAGAACGCCAAATCTTTAATTTTGCAACATTATTCTGTTTTCAACAATGTGAGTTCATACAGTATGTTTCACAAATAAGTGGAATTAAAATTCATCATGGCAATTTTTAATGTATTGAAAAAAAAATATGCTTACTAATGTCTAGCGTGCTTTGGCAGTGGAAAGCAATGAAGGATTATTTGGAGTGGTATGTATTAGGTTTATAGTTAATAGTTGATTCTTGATCTGGTTAAAAAGTGTAAGTATTCTATAAAATAGTCACTTGAGTAGCCTAAGCTTTTAGAATAAGTTTCTTAATAAGTTGGCCTGAAAACACTGAATAGCAAATGTTTTGGGCAAATTTTATTTAATTTTTTTTATGAAAAAGAATGTATATGTTGTACACCATTTATGTTTAGAGTATTGATTTGGGGGTATTAATTTACTTCATTATATAAATGTTCTGGTTACTCTCTTGAGGTACTATAATGACCTTTTGATTGAGAACCATACATATAACAGGTAAGTTTATCCACACTAAATGTAGCCTATTACAATTCATCAAGTCATCAAGCATGATCAAATTTTACATTTAATTTAACCTATCCCATTTGCATCGGTTGATGTTAGAATATGTTACAAACTAACTCTGCAGTATTCCGGTTGTCGTTGTTTGGCATGACATGGCAATAGTTAATTGGGTAGTATACACTTTTGTGTTATTTGTTAGCATATGTATAGGAATTTTTAAAACACTTGTTCATTCTCTCCTTTCACAACGATGAATGATAAAATTGACTTCTCATATCAACCAAGTTCATTCAAATCTCTTTGCAAAATCCAATGAGAAAATGCCCATGGTAAACATACTACAAACAAATTTCAAATTTGTGATGTGTCGATACAAAACTTGATTGATTCACGATATACTGATCCCTCAAGAATCGATCCCCAATTCTTGATACCGAAACAATTTTTTCTATTCTACCAAATTTTCTATATGGATTGGTTATATCATCACACATGGAAACATCATCACTGTCTTCCGCAATCACGGCAAATTCTCAAAAATCTCTCAGCGGTAGCGGAAACATCATTGTCTCCCGCGGCACAGAAAACATACTACTATAACCCAGAATGCCAACCGCATGGTAAAAAGCATTAAGTGGTTTGAGAGAGCATTGCCTGTCACTTCGTAGGCAGCGCCACCAGCGTTGCTATGCTGAGTGCATGGCAACGCTGGTGGTGCTTCCTATGAATTGACAGGCAAAGCTCTCTCAAAACACTTAATGCTTTTTACCATGCGGTTGGCATTCTGGGTTATAGTAGTATGTTTTCTGTGCCCGCGGTGACGAAAACTTTATTGACATCACCCACAATAACAGTAAAAAATGGACGTGTGGACATCATCAACGTCTCCTGCGATCGCAGCAAAATTCTTATTATCTCTCTTGGTCGTGTAGAAATTGTCATTGTCTCCCGCTACCGCGGCAAAAGCAGTAATTTTTCAATTGCGTGATCTTCGCAGATGTGTCAGGTATCGGTATTGACATAGACTTTAGACGATCAATTTTCGATAGCAATACTAATGTCCAAATGGCTAATATCGGTGGTTTTGAGAATCGACACATCACTATTTCATATATATTTTAAAACCTTTATCCTTTAAATTTGTCTATGAAAAGATACATTGTTTAAGCAAGTTAAGCAATGTGAATGGGTTAGGTATAAAATTATTTATTCATTAGTATTCATACGTAAATTGTTCAACTTTTAATAGTTTGTCTTGTTGTATGTATATACATAAATCCCTGTCATATACACACACACACACACAGTATAAACATCCATTCAATTTTTGTTTCTTTATTTTCTACATCAAAGTTGGCATTTATAAAAAATCTATTTTTTATAATAATGCACTGAAATAAAATCTTAACAAAACTTGTAAATGTTTCCAGATTCGAACACAAGACTAGCATTTTCGAATTCTGCTGATTCCAAGGTAATTGAGACGGAGTTTAGTTTAGTAAAATATAATTTATCTAGGTTACATCTATAGAAAAATGTGCATTTTAGGGTCTGCGCCCGATATATTTTTTTTTTCTTAATTCTACTCAAAATTAATTGCAGATTCGTATTCTTTTTCCACTCAAAATAATGAAAATCCTGAAAAGTAAAAATATACCGGTAAAAGACTTTTTATCAAAACATGTCATGTGGGTCCTCAAATTAATCGGAATAGCAAGCAGATCACGAATATGCAAGATTGTTTTGGTACATCGTCAAATAAGCGAGATATTTATTGACATTGTGCGGTGCGATTTTGGAATACCCCTGAAATAACTTCCTCCCCTGTCGATCCCACCACTACCCGGTTTTTAATACCAAATTATTGAGAAGATTAGATTCTTTAGATTTCACCATATATTTCTTACAAACTCTAAAAACCTTAGGAAAAATAGCATTTATTATAAAATGTAACTGTTCTTAACCAACCAAATCTTACCAAACTTGCTGCATGATTCTATAAATCGGTTTTACAAGAGAAAAGGCATGTGGTGAGGGTAGGCAGTGCTTTATGCGGATTCGTGACTGCATTAAGTCCTTTGTAGTTAGGTTTGATGCCTTCCTTGTTTTTCATTTAAAGTTCCCATTCCTCCCAGCTAATTAGCCATCATTACCTGTAAAATTACCTTTTTGATCTAACTACCCTTTTCTCCCGATGATTTACTATGTTGGATGCCTCCCCCACCCAAAACCCCGAATTCTCACCAGTCCCCTTGTGAGTTGAGGTTATTGCAGACTGTCCCAAAAATACTGTACCATTAACTATATACACGTTGTATTATATTTATATATTCAATGCTTTTACCATGTGGCCAATCTGGCAACATTGCCCTCGATCTGACAACATAGCGGCAAGTGATAAGCCTCTATCATTCAACTAGTGTTCTACTAGTCTAGTTGTTAGTTGAACACCGTTGTGAAATGCAAAGGCACGCTATTTTGAATTACAAAACTATTTAATTACGAATGTGAGTTGAGGAACTGAGAATTATTTATATTAGCTGAATTCAGAGTATTTCAAATAAACAATGATGTTGCCACTCTTTACACCCTTTAAAGTCGAGTTTTGCATCATAATTAACCTCACTTTTCAGAATTGGTATCGAGTACAATGAAGCAAAGTATCAAGGATCGGTAATTCTTCGATACCACTGGTATCGAGGATTGGAATCGGCCCATCCCTACATAAAATAGATTTTTTTATCAAGTAACTTTGTGCAAAGTTTTGAAGCTCTATTTTAAATATTTCAAAAATATTAAACCGGTCCGGGACTTTTGGAACAGTCTGTATAATTATTTAGTACAGTAGAACCTCTTTAATCCGAACCCCCGTGATCCGAACATCCACTAATCCGAACAGCTCATTGCTGTACTTTATACACAGTACAGTAGTTCTCTATTGTATACTGTATTTAATGTACATTACTGTTTATTCACTATATTTACTACTGTATTAAATAAAAACTGTATTTTACTTTATAAAGCATTTTTTAACTTTTCCCGTAGCAATTACGATCCATTTTAGCCTTGTTTTAGCTATTGTAATGTAAGGACAACAATATGTTCTGTAATCCGAACTATTGAATAGTCCGAACTACCCCCGGTCCCAATTAGTTCGGACTAAAGAGGTTCTACTGTATCACATTTACAATATCTCGCTTATTTGATGATGGATCAAAAAAATTCTGCATATTCGTGATCTGCTCACTATTTTTGTTAATTTGAGTGATATGACGTGTTTTGATAAAAAAGGTTTTATACCGTTTTTGTTGTATTCCAGGGATTAAGAACGTCATTTTCAAAATCAGTGTTCTAGTAGAATGAAAAAATTTCAAAAATCGGGTGTAGACCCTTCGCATATTAACCAATACATAATTTGCCAGTAAAAATTCATGGTATAGAATGTTCCTGAATATTTACTTTTAAAACAGATAAACAGAAGCTGCCTAAATAGAAAAGATACATATCCAATAACTGCAAAATTCAACAATTATTAAATTCATTTCTGTTAATTTTTACTTTATATATTTTATATTCTTTTTATTTTTAGCCTATATATTTTATACTTTATATATGTATATATATATATATATACCTTTGCTCAATATATATTTACGAAACATTACTATTTTTAGTATTTTTAAAGACCAATTTTGAGAAATTCTAGAAAAAATAATGAACTATGTGTGAAGAATTATAGTTTTAGAAAATTAGAAATATTTTCTTTACCTTTCCACAAAGCAAAGTTTTATGAAAAACATTTATTACAATGGAAGAAAAGTATTTAACAAATTACCAATTAGTATTTAAAAGAAAAAAAAATGCATAAAAAAATTGAAACAAATCCTTATTAAAGATCCAATCTTTTCTATTAAAGACTTCTGTGCAAAATACATCAAAATTTAAGAAATGAAGTTTTAAAGAGTTTAAATTAAAACTAATCCTAAGTTGAGAGTTAATTAATTGTAATTTCGAGACAATAAAGTATTATTATTATATTATTACTTCTATGAAAATCTTACATCCAACTTCTAACAACATTAAATAATCTTGAATGGAGCTAATTTATGTCCAAACTAGTAGAGTTAAAAATAAAAAGAGCTTTTTAAACATGCTAAGTCTTGGTTTAGGTACATAAACGTTACTTTCCTTAGGTAGAATGTCTTGGATTTTTTTGTCAGTACCACATTTATTAAAATATAGTTTCAAAACTTTGTAACTAAATAGATTCCTGATTTGTAAAATTTTAAGAATCTTAAAAAGTGAGAACAAATGTTTAATTTCAGTTTTATTTATCATTCAGGGTTCCCACTCAATCGTGAAAACTTTAAAACCGCGAATTAGGTCAACTGTGAGAAAACCTTGATTTAGCCGTTTTTAAAACTCCAAATATGTCGCCTGGAGATGACACAAGGGGTGAGTCATGTAAAACTGAATGCAGTGATATCGAGAATCGAGATTGTTGTGTGTGTGATTAAGAGAGAGAGAGAGCGCGCACGAAGGAAAGAGAGAGAGAGCGCGAGAGAGAGACAGTTTAGGCATAGTGCCTCAAAGCTCATAGTGGTCTCAAAACTCAAGGCCATGGTTTGAATTACGTCCTAGTTGTATTTTAAATAGGGAATGGCTGATAACATTATTTCTCGATTCGATACCAGTTCTGAAATATTACTCACGATTCTCGATACTGATTCCATACAAAAACTCATATTTTTTAGGAAGTTGCCACGGTCAATGTTTTGTTGATCGTATCATCCGTGTTTAAATTTTGAATCAGACAACAGACATAGTTGCGCCGGCTCAAAATTATCGTGCGCTCTCAGTTAAATATCGTATCCAAGTCTGATAAGTAAATGGAATCAGGGAACCGCTCTTGCTTTTTACAAAACGAAATAGTCGTAGACTGAAAACATCCATTTGAGTTAGCACTGGCACGGCAACTCTGCTAGAAAATCAAGACACTGTAAAATGTTTTGTTGATACCACTAAAAGAATCAACCAGCTCATTGGCTGTTGGCTTAATTGCAATCCCACAATCTCCTAGTTCCAAAGTACTATTTCTCTAGTACAATTGGTATCAAACGTCTCGGAATTCTCGGCATTTTCGCATTCAGTGCTACCTTCGGTTGTAGCTCTAGTTCAGGCTCAGTGCAAGCAGCTATTGCCGGTATTGACTTGAGCGCAATAAGTATTTGTCTGCGTTCGTTTTTCATGTAGCAAGCAATGGCGGAACGGTACTGTAGTCTAGACACTAGACAGACAACGTATGATTTTACACAATACTATTCCCAATCGACGCTCGACTGTGGATTGAATTGATGTTAAATATTTAATATGTTATTAAAAATTTTATTAACAGAGTACTATCAGGGACTATACTATCGATCAACGATTTTAAAATTAACAAGTATACCTACAACAACCATAAATAACCAATAATGAATATTTGCCGTCCAAATATAGTATACGTTCGATTTAGGTTAAAAGATGTAACCGATTAGTCGTCTTTTATTTTACCGTGTGTCAAAAGTAATTACGTAACTTTTCATTGCAAAGTGTAGTTATTTATGATTAGTGTAATATTTATTTTTAAATGCTTCCTATTCCATTCTTACTTTTTAATTTTAAATGACCATATAAAAAAGGCCATTTGTAATTATTTTTTGGACTCGGGATTCAAGGATTCGAGAATACTGTTCTTACAGTACTTACTTTTTGTAAGCATTCTTTTCATATTGAGTAGCTATCTGTTGTAACTAATACTTATATTTATTAAGTCGTTCATTAATGTAAGCTTGATGAAAATGTTTGTGTTAACTTGTTGTTCTAAATATTCTTACTTATGGTTGTTTTCCAGCAGTGAGTGGAATAACGTGTCTCTCTCTCTCTTTCTCTTTCTCCTCCCCCTCACGCTCTCTCCCCCTCCCTTTCTGTCCCCTCAAACCCCAAATTTGTTGTCCTCTCATTCTCCCCTACCCTCCCTCTCAACACCACATCTCTGTCTTTATTTCTCTACCTCTATCTCTTGTATCTTTCTTCGCTCTGCGCCGACTGGCCGATTATTACGTTCTATTCATGGAATGGGCCTTAAGGATTTTACCGTCTTGTGCCTTCCTGTATGTATAGATCTTGAAGCAATGTTAAATTTAATAATAATGTCATATGAATTGGCTACACAACTTTACTTGTGTACTGGTTAGAAAAGGCATTACATCCAAGTTTTGTCATTATAACTATCATTGTGTGGAGACCGTGAAATTTATGAAAGCAGACCGTGAGAACCGTAAAACACCGTGAATTTTGTTGAAGACAAATAGTGGGAACCCTGACCATTATTCTGATGAAAGCCTTTTGTAAAATAATGATTGGTTTTTAGGCTAGTAAAATATAATCTGGCCCATATTTCCATCCCATAATTTAGAGTTAATAAATGTGAAATAGATTGATCTCATTAGTTAGCAAACTGACCTGAGGATTAAAATATACTATGTACTTGATTAATTTTGTTTTTAAGTAATTGAGATGCTTTTTCCAGCTATGTTTACTGTCAAGCAATATTCCTAAGTCTTAAATATTATTCTACTTGATCTAGATTTTGATTTTAATGCAATTTTTTTGGGTTGAGCATGTTACTTTATTATATTTCAGACCTGTAAAAAAAGGATAGTTGTTTAATTTCATTTTCAAGAGTTGTTAGCCTCCGGATTACGTATGAATATTTATAATGGTTTTAGTACATGTATTCAGTAATCCAAATTGCTGCTTATGGCAACTATAGTTTCGGATCTGCTAAGGAACCATCTTCAGGCCGTACAAGTTTTTACCTCCACTGTATATAATTCGAACTACGACTTCCGCCCAGTCGCGTCGCACATGTCTTGTGTCCACGAGTTCTCGGTTGTTTTAATGTTAAATCTTTGTCTATCAATGTGTGTGTTTTATGCACTTTTATCTTCAATGACGACCTTCATATACAGTGGAGGTAAATAACCTGAACGACACCTTGTACGGCCTGATGATGGTTCCTTAGCTGAACCGAGACTGAAGTTGCCACAAGCAGCAATTTGGATTACTGAATGCAGGTACTTGAACCATTATAGATAATTGTTTAGTCATATTAAATATAATATAGGCTAACTTTGTTTTTGGACTCATAACCATATGATTCATATGATTAGGCTATTTGAAAACCAATGTCAAAGCATACTAATCCATCATCCTTGAGCATTTGATCCTTGAGGTCTTTAATCAAATTCGGATAGTGCAGTATCATCAGCAAATGCCACTAATTTGCCTTTTAGATTCATTTCTTCCTCGTATGTTGTGTAAAATAAAATTGACTCCTTGCATACAGAACTTTGAAAGTTGCCCTTTAGTTCATTATGGAACTCATTATGGAAATGATCTTATTAGTCTCAACTTATTCGGCTCCAAACTATTCAGGATTATAATACAGTGCTAGTTTGGGGATATTGCTGGCAATAAATCAGAAAAGCTAAGTCATTAGTCTGTATTATAATTTTGTCATAAATTGTTATATATTCATTGACTCTGCAATTACTGTCATTACGTTAATGCAACAATAATGCATTTACTGTTTCTTAAGGCAAAGCCCGTGGATGAAAATGGAAATGCTCTATCCTGTGTACGAGTTGACTCTAACTGCCTGGATAGGAAGAAGCAAAGAAGAGTGAAAGTAAGTAGTCCATCTCTTTTTTATAAAGGGGAGAAAATACTTATCCTCTTTTTAAACTATTTAATATATATATATTAGGGATGGACGGGTCCCGAAATTTCGGGAAAAAAATATTCCCGATTATCGGGACGGGACTTGGTTCGATCGTCGGTGATTTTACCGCTTCGCGAGTGCCGATGATGCCGCTATTGCGAGCGATAGGTCTGCGAACACAGGAGACGGAGTCATTTTGACGGTTGCGCCGTGACCGTGGAGGCATAACGATTATCGCGCCGTGACCGCGATTATTGGACCGACGATCGCACCGTGAACGCGAGTCATAACGAAGATCGCACTGTGACCGCAGAGTCATAACAACGATCGCGCCGTGACCGCGATTCATGGACTGACGATCGCACCGTGATCACGAGTCATAACAATGATCGCGCCGTGACCACGAGTCATACCGACGATCGCCCCGTGTCCGTGGAGTTCTACCGGCGATTGCGCTGTGACCGCGGAGTCATGCCGACGATCGCGCTGTGACCGTGGTGTCAAGCCGATGATCTTGCCATGATCGCGAGTCATACTGACGATCATGCCGTGACCGCGAGTCATACCGCCGATCACCCCGTGACCGCTGAGTCATACCGACGATCACCCCGTGACTGCAGACTCATTCCGACGATCACCCCGTGACCGCGGAGTCATGCCGACAATCGTGCCGTGATCGCAGAGTCATGTCGACAATCGTGCCGTGATCGCAAGTCATACCAACCATGCCGTCACCGCGGGTCATACCGACGATCACCCCGTGACCGGGTAGTATTACTGACGATGACGCGGTGACCGCGAAGTCATACCGACAATCACACCGTGACCGCGGAGTCATACCGACGATCGCGCCGTGACCCTGTTTTATACCGACGATCACCCCGTGACTGCGGTCATTTTGACGATCACACCGTGATCGCCAGTCATTTCGACTGCTAGTCACAAGGTTCTATAGGTAAATGTAAATTGTTACCCATTTTTTGGTTTTTTTTTATATCAGTGCCACAAACGGTAAAAATTGATTTCGTATGTCTTTTTTGGTAACTGCAATACTCAAGACTTTCTTTTTATGCACAGAAAAAAAATCCCGTCCCGTCCCAAACTAAAAATTCAATCCCGTCCATCCCTAATATAAAGCTATTGATCACACACACACTGAGATTAGCATTAATGTTCCCTGGACAGTGGGCAGACAGTTTCCCGAGAAATCATTTATACTTGCAGGAAAATGCTCTGAATCAAGGTAGATTAATCGCACCTCTTTCTAATCAGGCATTTTTTTAATTCTCACTATTTCAATGCCCAATGGCTGTTTAATAAGAAAGTTTTGTATTCACAGGCTAAACACGTGGCTTAGTAATTTTCTTGTATCAAAACAGCCCCAAATAGTAAATTAGTAATTTATGATTTTTACAAAAAAAAAATACATATTCAGTAAAACAAAATTTATTTTTGTGGTTAATGAGCAAGAGGCACTTTTTTATTAATAGAAAAAGTGTATGACAAGTCATGTTAAGTGTGTCAATTTTATTGAGTTAAAGACACTTTAGACTGCAGATGTTTCTAAAAACGACATATTTATTAAATTGTCAACAGTTTTTGGTATGTGTGAATTTAAAACGTTTTATGTGCTCAACTAACCTAGGTAATTACAACATTGAGGTTAGGATGTTTTGTGGCTGAGTTACATTACTGAGACAACATGATAAACAATGTTATTAGGGCCTACTGTTCATGAATTTCATAAATAACAATTACTTCATTTTTCAACTCTAATTTTGTTTTGTGTTTGTTTAGGAATTATGTTAATCCACGTACAGAAGATTTTCTGTTCATTAGTATTAAAATTATTAAACTACATTTAGCCTAAATTTTGTTATGTTCAGTTATCCAGGATGAGTAAAAGTAGTGGGCAAGTTAAAACTTTTAGAAATCAGCTGTTTTGAAAACTATTTGTAGATAACTAAATTGAACTTAGAATGACAATTGTAGACAAAAATTATAACTTGTGAAACTGTACTGCAACATCCATTGAAAAACTGTACCAAAGTTCAAAGTATGTTCCTCATATCTAATTAAATAGCAAATGAATATAATTTTTGAAACTAAATTGAATGACAACTCTCATATTCCAAAGATAAAAATATTATTTTTAGAAGCTATAAAAAAAATATGTATAAAAAACTAATAATTATTATTCATTTTTCAGACTAAGAATGACCGGAACACTATATCATTAAAGATTGATGAAATTGAGGGTTTTCGAGGAGAGGCAGACATTGATACTCTCATGGAATACATTGAGAGCCCTTCCTTGGATTCCAATAAAAATAAAGCTCGATCCAACCAACCTAATAATCCTCGCACCAGTGTAAAAGTAAGAGCTAAAGAGGAAGAGCCACGGTCTACAAAGAAAAGGAGAGAGAAATTTAAACGATCCAATAGGTTAGTATCCTACAGATAGGGTATGTACAGACTAATCTTATAACAAACCTCGATATAACAAATTCCTTGTTATAACCTAGAACTCTCCATAAGACAAAATGTATATATTACCTCTACATAACGAACAAACCATATCAACAGCCTTGATTTAACAAATTGTTGACGATCCCGGCTAAAATAATAAGACGCCTCGGTATAACAAATTTATCATTGTCAGAACCTATACCGGTACGTAGCAAATTTATCCTCTACTTAACAAATTGTCCGAGTCTTTCCTTCTATACAGGGTGTTTTTTTAACTTGCTTCTTCATTTATGTAAAAACTGCAATAGATAGAAATATGCAGTTTGCGGGAATCACCTATTGACCTTGACCTAGAGGCCACAACTGTTGTGAATTCAACGTTAAGTTCCTTCTCTCCTATTTACATTATGAAACCAAAATAATATAAATATTTTTGTATTTGAAGTCACATGTTGACGAGTCCAAATTGGACAAAATGTTTCTGTAACCACTTGAGAATGCCATATATGGTGAAACATGTGTAGTGGACTTCAAACACTATATTTGAACTGCAAGACGAGGTATGTTAAGTTTAGTCCATATTACTTAATTGCAATTATTAAGTCAATCACTCATTTTTTGTCATATTTTATCCCCATTCTAACGTCTTGTTGACCATACACAGTTACTGGGCCGTATACTAATGCTGAAGCACCATTCCAAACAATTCTGACATAAAACTGAACAAAACTTACGGGACCACTGAAGTTGCCTCAGCCTACCACAGGTTGGGAAATACTGATCTAGATTGTGCCTTCAGTAATAAATCTGATTATCTCATAAATAGTAGATACAAGCTGTTAAATTTTAGCTAGTTGTAGGACTTGACATAGACATAAACATTCCATACATGTCATAACATTTAGAATAGGTGCATTGTCAAAATTAAATCCATACATAAAATATTTAACATTAAAACTTTTAACTTACAATCAAACACTTAAAAAAAAAATTCTAAATGTTAGTTCTGTAGAAATCTTCAATTAAGTAAAAAGCCTTGTCAATAAGAAAATTATCTATTGTATCTTTAAATTTGGTTTTGCTTAATGACTTATTGCATGGCGGAAGCACATTGTACAATTTCAGCCCAGCGTACAATGGAGATTTTTCATATAGGGTCAAACGGTGTCTGGGGAGTCTAAATATATTTTCATTTCGGGTTTCATACCTGTGATTAAAATGTATTGTTTCTGGTAGCTCATTTTTAACTGAATGTATGTAATTTAATAATTCTAGAATATACAACCCCGTTAATGTATGAACTCTTAAATTTTGAAAATGTTTCTTACAAGAACTGCGTGGATGAGAGTTGGTAATAATACGAATCACATTCGTATAATATAGACATTCTTAATAAAGATACTTTGCTTATAGTTTGGAAGAGGTTTCAAAAACCAAACTGGAAGACTTGACCGAACACACAAGTAGTGAAAAAATCAAAAGTTCCCTCCCTATACAAAAAAAACCATTGACAGTTGAAGATACTGATGTGTGGCAAAGATCGTCCTGGAACAAGGATGAAGATCATCTTCTTCAGGAGCCTAAAAAAATGTCATCTGAAAGAATTTCTCCTGAACTCTTACAGGTGACTTATGATTTATTTGTTAGTGTAAGCGGATTCTTGGACATTGTCTGTTATATATTTTTTATATATATTCTGTACGTAAAAACTACCATACTCTTAAGAAAGTAAGTTTTTACAAGTTGTAAATCTTACTTCAAAATAAATAGTAATATGGTAGTTAATGAATTTAAAAAATAGTGGGGTGCAAGCCAGTGAAATAAAATTTTTTCTGAATATTTACTGTTTAACGAGATTGACTTGATTTTTAAATACTAATGTTTTGGGACATTTTGGACGTAAATAAATGTTACGATCAATCTGGCTCTTGAAATAAAAAGCAGAAAGATACAGAACAAAACTGAAAATTAATGAGTAAAATGAAAAATCTGCTTATGATTTCAGGCAGGAAAAAAAAGTCTTTGATGCTTTTACTGTTTTTTGGCATCAAAAGAATGTCTCAACACTTTTTCTTGAAGTCCTTTGAGTGTTACGATTTCAGACGCCAACGCACTATTTTCCTCCGCCCAAGTTATACCAGTGGCGAACTCATGCAACGCCTGATCAGTGCGACTGAATCAGTTCCCCCTCCACCTCATCATTGTCACCTGTCGAGTATCTTTACTACTATCTCGTCGTCAGTCATTATTTGTTATTGTTCTTCTTCCTCCCCGGTAAACCAGTCATTCACATCAATTGTTGTCAGGTCATAAGGATCATCCACATAATTGCCTCTCTCAAGTTGTTTAGCTCAGTGTCATATTGTTGTTGTTAAGAGTCACTTTTCTTATGTTTTTCGTAATCCTGTAGTAACGTCAGAGTAGGCCTCAACTTTTTCCATGAAGTGACAATGGTTTTTGATGAAAGTTTATCCCATGCACCATCCAAGTTAAAAACAACGTCTTTAAGCTTCTTTGTGTTCTTTGTGCTTTAACCACACTCCCATATTTTGATAAAATGCTGTACAACAGGGTTTTCTTATGAGTGGTCTTGATGGTTTGGATCAAGTTTTGATCCATAGGTTGTAGTAATGGGGCCAAAAATCACAGATGTTACCATTTGTCTGCATCAAGATGTCCAGGACAGTTATCAAGAAGCAATGAAACCTTTATGAAAGCTCTAAAGCTTTCATAAAGTTAATGCTCTAAGGGGCAGCTTCAGATTTTTCATAAAGGTTTTGACTGATGGAACAAAGCTGTTATGAAACCATTCAATGAAAAGAGTATTTGTCATCCATCCTTTTGTTTGGTTTGTGTATTCCACGGGTAAATTCATGTTCTTAAAAACCAAGGGTTTTTTTTATTTACCGATCACGAGCATTGGTAATTTATGAGTTCCGCTGGCATTAGGATACAGCATAAATGTAATTCGGTCGTTTGCCAACTTGCGGCCAGGTGCGCTGGCTTCAGCTCTGTGGACAAATGTTTTTTTTTTTTTGGGTAAAAGGTGCCAAAACAAGCCACTTTCATCGGCGTTATATACCTGATCTGGGGTCAAGTTCATTTCTTCGACTGTGCTTTTGAATTTAGCTATAAAGTGCTCAACAGATTCTTCCTGACACGACAGTCTTTCACCAGTTATTTAAACTTAACAGTCTAATCCGAAAACATCTTTTAAACTTGTCTAGCCAACCTACACTTGCACGAAAGTCGTCCTTTTTCATTATTTTTTTTAAAAAAGAACTTGGCTTTTTCCATAAGGATATCACCTGAAATAGGTGTATGCCTGCTTCTTTCTTGCATGAACCATGCAAAAAGTGCATCTTCTACTTGGTGAAACCCACCTGATTTTAAGGTTTTTCTTGCATCAGAGGATTTCTCACTATAGTTCGGCCGCTTAGAAAGCGACCTGCGCGCTAATGCTAACCAATGCTAGAGGAGGTCGCTTTCTAAGCGGTTGAACTATAGGCCTACTCTTGTAGAACAATTCAATCTTCTCCCTTTGTTTTTTTTTCTTTTTCTCCCTTGTTTTTTATGACATGTATCGTCGCACCGATGTTGTATTTGTTCGCCAAATGAGGTAACTTTTCACCTTTGTCAAAGGTTTTTCTAATGTTAAGGTCAGATTTTTACGTTTTGCTGACATCGCACTTAACTTTAAAAAAATTGAATCCCTGGATATCTCCTAATAATACTCACAAATAACTAACACAACTGTGTAGCAAGAAGGTGAGCAACTGACGACTGACAGACAAGTGACGGCACATTTAGAGATATGAAGCCAAAGGGGCCTGCCGTCGCCCGCACAGTGCCTTATTACTAGACGTGCCGTACTAGCGCACGGCCGGATTATAGAGAATGTACTGTATAATTAGGATAGATACACGATAAACTAAATTTACTTATTAACTTGTAAACACATCAAATATATTTTTAATCTTTATATTTTATAGTGTGACGTAATTTTCCTGGCGGGCGACAAGTGGGAAATTACGCCACCGGTAATAAAACGAAGATCCCAGGATTCACCCTAGTCTGGTCGCGGGGAGTTTCCCAGGAGTCGATAGTGATTCGGATAGCCTAACTTTGATAGCCCTGGTTGTCAGAGCTCGAGACGAACATTGCGGGTTACCCAAGCACCCAACTCGAAATCACCACTCTAGTCTAGGGCTCGTGGGGAAATTAATAATTTTAACTTGACTCTGTGGGCAAATATCTAAATGACACACTACTAGCTAACTTAACGAATCAACAAGTCACTCCGCTTACCTACGGAGTTAAGTCGTCAACCTGCAACAAACAAGGTTAGTACAAGATAGGCCTAACCTAGCCTAACTCCCACAGAGTCCGAATTTATTAAACAAGAAAACAAGTTGGCTTAAGTTGTCCAAGTGAGACACGAAACGAGAAAAAACTGAAACTAAAAATAAAACTGCTCCTTGAGCCAAAAACGTAAAACTAAAACTTTAACTTCCTCACGTGTTCAACTTAGACCAACTTCGACAGAACTTGTCCAGCAGAAACCTGTCTGCTGGAACAAACTTTGGGACGTTTGGGGAACTTTACAAAGGGTTTTAAAATTAAAAAAGAAAGTCCCAAGACGGATTAAGAAACGTTAATTAAGAAAACTATGTCACCAACTGCAGTACTTAACTATTCCAATTGTTGGTTACAACGTCGTGGTCTGACTAGGTCTGATATTCAGGCCTAGCCTTCAAGTTCAACCAAGTTCCGTTCACTACAACTGGTCGAGTAATATACAATAATCTGTAAGTTAGTTACGAAACTTACCCGATGACGAAATTATATCAAAATATTCACTACAAAACAATACATACGAACTTAAGCTTTCAGAGCTTGCGATACGAACTTTAACTTGCACGAATTTTCGAGAACGACCCAAAAGCGAAACAAACTTACGAAAAGCCGGGATTACGAATAAGGCAGGCGCATGACAGCTTTAACATGCTTACAGCTGCGTACCACTCAAAAGGTGGCCCCGCTGCTCCTCTTTTCTCCCGTAGCCCGCCCTCGGACGCAGTCGAACAGCCAAACAACCAAACTGAGACCAACGTCATCTGCGATCTTGGAATTTGAGGTTAGGTGCGATGTCAGTTTAGCGTCGCGACTAGGGCACAACAACAGCTTACATTCAGCTGTTTAAGTTTCGTGGTTTAGCCGTTTTTTTACCCCCTACACATTTGACCCGTTACAATAGTTAAAACAACAAGAAAGCTTTGTTAAATAGTTAATAATTAACCTCCTGCTAAACACTTCTGACAGTGTTTGATTTATGAGGGGTTTCTGACATTATATAATTTAAAGATTTGTTTACGAAGGAAGTGTTAGCTATTATTACAAATTCTTTAATTATCATTATCTTTTATAATCAGCATTATTGTCTTGAGCTCTTATATTATACAGCTTGGTTCAATATGATTCTGTAATGTTTTGTAATGGTTATTAACCTTGGGAGTAAATTTTTATTTTGTTTATCCTTAGGAGTCCGAGTTCCTCATAGTGACCAAGAAACAGAGGAAGAAGAAAAGGCGTGTGGTGTGCAGCAGCCGCAGCACATCAAAAACTACCTACTACAGCCGGGAGTCGGGTTCCGGTCGTCTCTTGTACCAGTACCAAAATGATCAGGGGACCTCACAACCTCGGAGGAAGTCAGCATCATCTGTACCTCCATCAGATAAAAGCGACAGTTCGGATTTGGACAGTGTACACTCGCTTCCTGTTTCATCCTCGACAAGACAACGAGTGATGAAAAACTCTGTGTCGGGAGGCTCCACCCCTCAGGCTTCTTATGCTGACATCGCCAGATCAGCTGCCGGGTTACCTTCTGACAGTTGTGTTATAAATGTAGTTACTTATACGGACTCAGATATTAGAACGTCCGTTATACCTATTTTATCGTTACCCTCGCCTGCTGCATCTAAAAAGGATGCAACAACTGAAACATGTGATACTTTTCTAACTACTGAAGACTACCCCCCTCTCGATAATCGAAATGTAGATTTTTGTACAGACATTTCTAAGTTTCCACTAAGTGGAACAAAAGACAAAAGTCGTAAACAACCTGTGATAGTTAGAGACAATGAAAGGCCAGCAGTCATTCTAATGAATGACAGAGCTGAGGCTCAAATCAGTGAGATAAAGTTCGGTTTTGACATTAACTATCAGCTACTTGAAAGTGAGGCTAAGTGCAATAAGTCAAGAAACACAGCTTATACTTTGGTTGATCAAACTGCTCCAGCGCCTACTCAAAACGTAGCTGAGTTCTTTTGTCGCTTCCCCAGTGATGACAATGTTGTTCACTACCTGACTTCATGTAAGTACTCTTTACACACTGAATGTTTTACAGCTATTGAGTGTAAGAAAGGTGATTTTTAATGTGTACCTGTTCAAACGGGTGAGGTTCGCAAAACTCCAAATTTCACCAACTCTAAGAGTAAAATATTTAAATCTACTTTGTTTTACAAACTCCAGTTTTCACAAACTCCAATGGTATTAATTTAACTCCGAAATTCACCAATTCCAAAGTACAGTCCTGGCCAGAAGTGGTTGCAGGGGTTGCCACGGTCAGATTGCATGCACCACACGTTCTATCAAAACTAGAGGTTTGCAAGCCAGAGATTTTCAATCGAGTCAAGCTTTTTCCGAGCCAAGCCTTTTTCTATCATGATTTTTTTTTATTACAAATAATAAGTTAATCAGGCCTAGTCAAAAACTTTTTTATTAATGTATTTAATGGTAAGATGCAGGGCAAAATTAGATTTTTTTAAGATAAAAGGATGAAACTAGGAACTAAGTTTATGATAAATTTCACCTCAATTAAAGCAATCTTTTCGATAAATAAAGGATAATGGAACAATGTCTTTCAAACATATCAAGTAAATTACAAAACTGTGTAGTATTTATAGTCAACAAGTGTTGGAGTGGGTTGCAAGTTTCCCGAAAATGGAATTTGAAAATATTTTACCTACAGGGCCCTAGTCCAACACTTGACGCCGAGCCGAAGGTGATACTAACTTTGCTTAGTTATTCAAGTACATAAGTTGTTTTTTTTTTAATAATTATAGGGATTAATTTTGTGTTCTATAAAATATCAATTTAATAACTTTAATGAGATTGTAATTAACTTGATAGTAAAGCTAATAGTTTTGAATGTGATTATATTACTTAAGGGATAATTGCAGTATAATCACTTTACGTACTTTTCATTTACACTATTAAAAGTTTAGTAAAATGTTAACAGAATGTACAGCCTTACTGTAGGCCTACTGTATATTTAACTACTATTATAAACAAACTATATGTGATGGGAAAAGCATTTGATTTTGATATACAGGGTGTCTCACCTAGAGTGAACCAATAGCTAACTTTTTTATAATGAGATAACGAGTTAACTTTTTATAGGGCACTCCCCTTTATTTTTTAAGATGTATTTTGGAATTGTTTCAAATTTTAAAAATATGTCCGCCATTTTCCAATATGGCCACCAACCTTGTTATTTTTTATAGAACACCCTGTATTTTAAGATTGTTTTGGAATGTAAATGCAATTTAAAAACGTTTTTATTCTTGACATTTTTCCTCTAAAGCTAAAGGGTGTCCCAATAAGAACGCCGGATTTGAAATGTTAACAAACCATATATTTTCATGCTAAATTTACAATATGAAACATGAATCTTAAAGCATAGTATCTCCGATTAGTAATTGAGTATTATGTCTTGTAAGTGCCAACCTGCTGAATACTGACAGGCCCGACATCTCTTGACAAAGTTTTCCATCACTTTTTCACACACTTCCTGTTGAATTCCATTAATGGCACGAATCATTTCCTCCTTCAAGTCTTGGATTGGTTGAGGATTATTGGCGAAAACAAGCGACTTTAAATATCCCCAGAATGGAACTGAGCCAATTTATTCGAACTTAGAAATCAATCTTCGGACAGATGGATCATTTGGTGCACTGTCCCGGCCGTAAATAGCGCGCAGCTTCCGTACTTGTAGTGCACTTTATCTATGACCAAGCGTTGATCCGTCGTGTAGCGATTCATGACTACAAATGGGACCTAATACTGATAACATCGCTGATAATTTGGGAATTTCTATTGAAATACAGATAAGGATAAGACGCTCCTCAAATCCGGCGTTCTTACTGGGACACCCTTTACTTGTTTGGCAGTTATTTCGTGTTACACCTAAAAAAAAAGAAAGAGGCTAGTGGTGTACATTATGCATCCTGTAGCTCCTAAACGAGTAAGTTTAGAGAAAATTGCATTTACATTCCAAAACAATCATAAAATACAGGTGCTCTATAAGAAGTAACAACGTTATCGGCCATATTGGCAAATGGCGGACATATTTTAAAAATTTGAAACCAGTTGTTATACTAGGCCTAGTTGTCTTCAGTAATTGTGATATAAACTGTATGCACTACACTCTGTAAAACAGTATTCACAGTGTGCAAGTGCTCTGGACGTCGTGGGACAGCGCTGAAATAATAGACGTACAACTGGCAGCGGCTTTTGACGAGGTGCAACTGCTACTTTTTTAAGAGAGTAAAGTGCGCTGTTTCATGACGACCAATCTCATGACGTCCAGAGCTTTTAGCACTATGTTTTTTTTTAAATTACTAAACTTTTGGACATGATTGAGATTTGCATGTCGTGACACTTGGACCATGGTTGTCTGAGTTGTGCATGTTGTGCAATGCATCCAAATTCAATATGCCTATCACAGAAATCCACTGCATTGGTGGAATCATCATGGTAATCTACTGCAATCAAGGCTACATCATGAATTTGGATCCTACTTGATGATGACATCCCAGGGTGTCCTCTGACCGGGAAAACCGGGAATGATGCGTGAATTTTGTATTTTACCGGGAATTATCAATTTGCCACGATCGCGCATGAAGATGGCGTTTCCGTGACCACGGGAGACGACGATGATGTCCAAACGGCCGTGGGATTTGTTGGTGATTTTGCCGCGAACGCACATGACAACGATGATGTATCCGTGACCACGGGAGACGATGATGACTTTTTTCCGTAACCACGGAAGCAGACTCAACAAGACATCAAGACTCAACTGAACATAAAAAATTAAAGCCAGGCTCATTTGTCGGTTCAAAAAACAACTTATTCTCGATAGCTGAAATATATCTGCAAGTCTTTATTTACTTTACAAGCGTCATACCTTAAACTTACATGGCTGACGTATTTAGAGATGCAAAAACTTAAAATTTTACTTCACTGATTTCATTAAGTAAGACTGAAGATTAGACTGATCTAAATCGATCAGCGGCTCAAATTGGTAGCAGAAGTAGTGACCTTCAGGGGTGATTTTCTTAACTACTTCCGGATGCAGCGGCCGGCGACGCAAGCTGGTGACTGTTATCAGGGTTGACCTTTATCCCCGCAGCCTCTTATTGCCCGCGTCACTAACACCTGATTCTTTCTAACTGTTGTAAACATCAACTTAGAGACGGTTAATACTCTTAAATTAATCATACAACTGTTACAAACTACTTCAGCCCGACGGACAGTTCCTGTTGCCTATCAGAACAGGACCTGGCGACAGACCAGGAATTCTAAATCCAAAATTATGTGTAAATTTGTTGTACCAGAAAATACGCGTAAATTTTGAAATTTCACTGGGAAAGCTCGTTCTTAGTGTCATTTTGTTTACTAGTGATGTGTCTATACTAAAATTAATTGATTTTCTTCTTGATACCTATACCTAAAATATCCATTTTTAATTCTCAACACCTAAGGTAAGGTACCGATACCATTTTATGGTATTTTACCAAATTTTCTGTATTGATTGGTACTACAACACCCCTTCCATAAAAGTATTTTTGGGGTAATGGGGTGTTTGTTAAGTATAGAAAAAGTTAATGCAGCAATAAAAAGTTCTTAGTAGCCAATTTAAGTTAAAACCCTTTTTAAAAAAATACCATGTAAAGGCAAATGAAGATATAAAATAAAATATATGAAAATTGTATTATAACTAGAGAGAGGTGTGCCAGCCTGAGATTTTGATCACGCCAAACTCAAGGTAATATTACAATTATCTCCTGCGGTTATGGAAACATCATCCTCTACGATCACTACAAAATCTTGCAAATCTTCCCTGGTTACGGAAACATCGTTAATGTCTTCTGCTGTTACGGTAAAAGCCTGATTATCCCCGCGTGTGTTATTATCAAATTGGATAAAAAAATTACAATCTTATTTTCAGATGATTCTTTTTAATGTCTATTGGCATAATAAATCAAATTAATTTTAAATATGGTAGTTAATATGCAGGGTGTTTTGTAATTCCCTACCAACCTTTTAAGGTAGGCTACCTATTATTTCTGGGTTCATAACAAATTCAAATATCACATTTAAATCATGAATGGTTACTCACATAGCTGCCATTTTGTATGTTTCAAAAATTGTTTTTCTCAATGTAAAAATATAAAATGTCTGTCATCTTTATTTTTTGAACAAGAATAAGTATTAACCCGTGAATCTTGTAAAAAAAAAAACAAAAACAGGAGTGCCATTTTATTGTAAATGTTAATACAAACGCAATGACAACTCAATATTGAGAATCCAATTTAAAAAATGACTAGGCTATGACATTAGTGTCCATTAGTCTAGGTCAATGTACCCTGACTCTATCCTCTGCAACAATGTAACAATCACTGACCCAATATGATAGTTTCATAAGCACTAATCAAATCACGGTTATTGAGAATAAAAGCAACTTATTTATAAAATACAAAATGGCAGCTCTAAGTAAGTAACCATTGACTTACAGACAATTTGAAAGTGATATTTGAATTTGTTATGAACCCAGAAGTAATACCTCAAAAGTCAAAAGTTTGGTAGAGATTTATGAAACACACTGTAGGCCTATAACTATATAAATCTCAACTGTGTAGCTTTATTCCTATTCAAAAATGTATTTCAGAATATGGTTGTATTTTGTATGGATTGGAAATGGCCATTTATTTTTACCATTGAAATTGATAACTACAGTAGGTAGCATTTCAATTACAAGCCTCTCATGGCGATCACAAGTTTTACTTCTTATTGATATTTGCAAATAACAAGTAATCAAGGGTATTTGAAAATGACACTCGTTTTTTTATCTCTTTTCATAACGCTCTCAAAAAGAATTAAACATTAACTGAGCTTTGGTTCCTACTGTAAAACTAAACAGTGTTGTAAGATGATCAATCAGGATGGTTGTTGATTTATTATTATTGATATATATCCAAATTTGATCATACCAAAGCGAGTAAGATTTATGAATAGTTATCTGAATGTATATAATTCAAATCAAAACATGCAATGAAAATGTGAAGCTCAAGCTCATTTTACTGTGTTAGATATATTATAATTTCTTGTTTTTTTTTCAGCCTGGGAAGAAGTCCTTGATAAATTACAATCAGGGAAAGCAAGTTATTACGATGGACAATAACTTCTTCATAAACTGTTATTTTATTATAGTTTTGTTATTTGTTGTGTTACTATTCCACAAGTGTTTTTAAGCTGGTAAAATACAGCATTCATGTTAATATATATCTAATTATTACTCAGTGCATTTAATCTTTTGTTAAACATGTTTTTATTGGATACAGCCCCAAAATTAGTTTTATATTTACTGTTGATTTATTATGCGGTAATTCTAATACAGGTAAAATTCAAGTATTTTGTGAAGTAGTTGTTAATGTCTTCAAGTAGGGACCGTAAGTGACTGAAACAGAGAATAGTCATCTTAAAAAGTTAGTCTTACTTTTGCAGGGTTACTAGCTTAGACTAATCCCAAGTACCCGTCTTTAGGTTCAGTAATGCCTATGGATGACTTGTCCCGTATTTAGCCTGAATTTTAATAATTGTTTTAAAAGTCAAAACCATTTTGGATTGCATAAAGGCAGGTACACCAAATTGTTACTTTTAAAAAGTCTGTTAAAACTTGCTCACAATAGTTAGCAATAACAATAGATTTATTTTGTGATTCATTCCAATTTTAGCAATTTGCATTAAGTTCCTATAATTTAAACCAACAACTAACATTTGAATATTTTGACTTATTCCTACAACTAATTTAAGAAAAAATGGATTATTAGATTATTTAATTCAATTTGAATAAAACATATTCAAAATTAATAAAGCATAAAGTGTATTAACACTAACCAAGTTTCCATTTTTTGCAAAATGAAAATTCTCTGTCTTAGTCTAAAAATGTTCATAATCTGTGTAATTTTTCATTTGCTATGTTAGAACATTTATACAAATGGTATAATTACTTATAGTATTTTGACTATTTTTTTGTGGGTGAATATTTCTATACATTGATAACTGTCGGTTTAAAATTTAAAATTATTTGTATAACTCCATTAATTCCACTAATTGTCACTAATTCCATTTTACAGATATTTGAAAAAGTAAGATGTGAGAAATTAAATCAGTATCGACAAAACCTAAAATAATTTGCGTTTTATATAGGTGTAAACAGTTTCAGTCTTATCCATTCACTTATTATTTTCCTGCTCATTACTGTTGCTTTAAAAGCTTGAATTATAGCCCATTGTTTTCATAACGTTTCTATAGATTTTTAAACATTTAGAACTTTACTCGACCAGAACATTAATTTAATTGCTTAGTATTGGTTTCAGCAAACCACAAGTTTTGTGATACCATTCTCTCTTTTTTTAAAGTTCATTTTGACTCTTGATTGTTAAGATCGATACTGAATATTTTCTCCTTCTCACTTTCACGTTTAGTTATTGGTACTTTTACTTTCATAAAATGGCACTTGTATTGGCAATATCATGACCGCCTCAACTTTAGTAATATGAGTTTAGTATTGATGTGTATTCTTATATTTTACTAAAATTAAGTGAGTTAATATTAGTTAAGTACAGTAAACATCCTAGTCAAGAATTATTCACCCTCATATTAAGTTTTGACATGGTTCACTTGTTTTTTGTATCAGTAATTTTCTGAAATTAATTGTTGAAAACATGTTTTAATATAGTTTTGATCTAAGTACACCCCAAAGTATCCTATATTTAAGCAAACTCACTGTCAAATGGTCATCTTGTACTTTTAAGTTCAATTCAGTTTGTCAACAGAATAGGTCAAAAGTAATTTATAAAATTCGCACTGCAAAGAATTTGTATTTATAATAAAATTGTTATTTCTTTATTATATCTAGTAACTTATTTCCCATTTCTTATCTATTTGGCATTTGATATGTTGCGTTGCAAGCAACGATCACATAAGACCAATAGATGGAGCATGTTGGCCGCGACGTGAAGCCAGTATTTCTCACTAATCTACAACAAGATGGCGGCTGCCGGCTGTGATGAGCCCTAGTAGCACGCGCAGCTAATTAAATGTTAGTTGATAGCAATGGTATCCATGACAATACGCCATTGTATTACAAATATTTGTGTTACTAACACAATTACCTTCAAAATACGCTTTTGATTTTTTTTTTAGCGTTTACCGTTTCTTAGAAAAAGTTAGTTTACATAATTAACAACAAAAACTTAATGGGCGAAAGGAAAATTCTGAAAAGCTACAAATCTGTTTATAATATATGTATCTACATCGTATTAAAGTTTGATAAAGTTCTGATGTTTGATTTACAATCTACGAATTTTCAAAGTGACAAGATAATTTCTGAAACTCTTTATACAACTCTCCTTTATATTCTGACTGTCATATTAATTTTTATGAAAGAGCTAAAAAATATTAATTTTTAGATGAATACAAAGAATAAAACGAAGAAAAGTTATATGTAATCCGTGTTTTTCTAATTAGTTTAGTAACTTTTCTGTATAGCTCCAAATTTGAGTATCTAAACTGTATTACAAGTGACGTTGTGGGCAGAATCTGCCCGCATGACGCCACGCGGCGCGGCGGGTAGCCCCTATATTACAATTTAAATTACAACCAAACTACGCCAGCTAAAAATTTTAAAAAATATGATCCAAAAGGTTCAACTCTTTAGCTACAAAATCCACCGTTTTTTAACTTACCTGACCAAAAATTAAAAAAAGTAGCAGCCGACGAACTTTTTCATGTCATATTTTAAAACTCATTTAAAAGTACCGACTTTATTTGAAGATTTAAAATAGAAAATACTAACTTTTAAGCTTTTAATTAAAACCAATAGTGTCGTAGACTTATTGACTTCTTTCATATGAAGTTTCAACCATATAACTTAAGTCTAAGTAGGCTAAATGTCGAGTTATTTTGAAGCGGAACATTGAGTTTTGGTGCCGTTTTCATCGACATCTAGCGCTTCTATCCTACAATAAGATGGCGGACCTGGCTTCACCTGCTTTAATGTTAGTTAGATAGGCGTGCTCCATCTATTGGTCTTATGTGATCGTTGGTTGCAAGATACTAGCAGCTACTATTAGTTATTATACTATTTATATACAAAAAGTTAAAAGTATACAATTGAGGGCTAAACAAAACATAAGTACAAATTTCCAGAGCTAAAGTTTGGTCAAAATGATGTAGAACTAGTTTTGGAATTTTTTTTATTTCTGTTAACGAACAATATTTTACAATTACAATTGTATTATGAAAGGGTATAATTGGAGGAGTGGTAAAGTATAAAAAGGAGGGATTATAGTTTTCCAACAGTTTATTATTGTTCTGGTTTATTAAATATCAAAATTAAATTTCAAGAAATGCTAAAAGAGTTTTCACAAGTTGACAACACATTAGTTTTACATTTTTATGAACATTTGAGGTAGAAATGGTTTATGAAATATCATTTCAAAAAAGTAAACTTTCAAAATCTTCATTTGGTTTGCTAAGAGCTCCATTTGTGTTTTACTAAAATGCACACTACTACACTCTGTGCATAGTTTTTATGCACAGAGTGTAGTGTGCGTATTAGTGGAACAGTGTAATACTCCCAAAAAAGCTATCTTGAATTTTTACTAATCCTTAGTATGAACTAATTTAAAAAATCATTTTTCATCAACATGTTGGTACTTTCGGATCTTGTATATTTTTGCCCCTAATGAAAATATGCAAGTATTCATTTTGGTTTAGTAAATGGATTGATTGAACCTTGGTTTGTAAATTTGGAATAATCCTAATTTTAAACCCTCAAATGTCTGGTTTGCATGATGATTTCCATGGTAAAAAGTCAACATATTTAGAAACCTTATTTGAATCTTGGGAACTTTTTCAATGTACAGAACCAGTTTTACTAGTAACTCTGCCCTTGTCTATCAAACAATTTCCAAACTGTTGTTGTCAGAGGCAGTGATATTCCTGAAACGCCTCACTCCACACCAGTGAATGGGTTCTTTAGTAAATCGAAACATAATTAACAAAACCAGATTTATTAAACTCACAATTCAGACTAAACTAAAAAGTAAACAAAACATAATAATATAAACAGTCATCTGACATATGTTATAAATAAAACATATGGACTTATTTCTTGATACATAACAGCCATCACCCGTCAGGTAGTCCTTGAGATAGGCTAGTGGTCGACGGATCCAAACAGGTTAAGGACTCATGCTCATTGAAGTGTTTTGGGAGTTTGATCTAAAGACACATGTCCCAACTGGTCCTATAAACCTATAAAACACCCTAAAAATTTTAAAAATACATCGGAAAATTCACTTTTCAGATGTTAAACATCCAGCTGGGCTTTACTTAGATCTTAAGATTCATGACAGATGAATGAAAGTACCCCGTTTACTTCAATGTTAAGACTATTTAGCCAATTTCTCCCCAATAAACTATTTCTATTACCTTCAATTATGACTAACGGAAGAAGTCCATTGAACTTACCGTATTTCACATAAACATTAGTGTGACCTAAAATCTTGCAGGTTTACCACTGTAATCCTCCAGTTTCCATTTCCAGGGAGAAGGTTGCAGTTTACAGTTTTTATGAGAAATTTTATTGTAAAATTGGCCTTATTTTTCTGACATACATAATACACTCAAGGGTATACAAACTATAGACGGTTAATATATTTTTTGTTAATAAAATGCTCCCATAAGGATTCATCAAACTCGAGATTTAACATGGCTCTTATAGCTCTGTAATAAATTATACATAAGTCTGTATAGCTCTGCCTTATGGCTCTTAAAGCACATGTATAAAACCTATTACCTACTGATGATTACATAAGGTGCAGAAGTTCGGAATATAACAGAGAGGCAATGGAGTAGGGTCCAGTCAGAGGCAAATGAAGTTTGTAAGAATTACAGGGGAAAACAAACTTGGATATAATTAGGAATGAAGAGTTAAAAAGAGAAATAGTTGAAGAAAGTTTGAAAGAATGAGTTGAGAAATCAAGATTGAGATGGTTTGGCCACTTAGGAAGAATGGAAAATGATTGAATCCACAGAAAATGAGTGAGCTTCACATGAACGGAAAAAGACCAAGAGGAAGACCTAGAAGAAGGTGTATTGACAAGGTAAGAAGGGATGTGGAAGCAAGAGGAGTGCAGTTGTAGTATGTTGTACAGTTGTACCGTATTTTAACTAATTTCAATTTCAAGATCAAATCCCCCATGCCCCGTTGGTCAGCTGACGACAGTCGTCCAACCACAACGTGCAATTCCCAGGCCTATGATTCGTCAATGGGGTCAAAGCAGATGCTAGAAGCCAGGAACCTACTTCATTATATCTGTGTCTTCTGATCAAAGATCAAAAAGAGATAGAATCAGTCAATCACAAACTTTTGACTCCAGCTAGTGCAAGCCATCTTTTGAAATTTACACTGTGTATCACTGCGAATTTGAAGTTTCCCAAATCACAATAGCAGAGGTCTGCCCAAATTGATTGTAATTGTGCTGTAATGCATCGTAAGTAATTTAAAATTGTTTTGTCAGTTTTCCTGCAGGCATTCTTGAAATGATTATTTAATATGTTTAACCCACTATTTCAATAGCACAAAAACGGTCTGGAGGTAGCATAAAACAACAACTCGGTTAGTTATAACCTAAACTTTATTTTCCTAATCTTAGCTAGCTTCAAAACACATGATACAGTCACGAATTTGCATAAAGCCTGACCTACCTTCCTCACATGCGAACATAGGAACCGATTAGTTTACAATAATCAATGCTCAGTGGAATTTATAAAAATGTGTTTACTGCTTTGTTTTTACTGTCCTAGGCTTCTTCTTCTTTTCCTCCATCAATCCTTACTTCTTAGTTTGTACTTTGTTTAAAAATTACAGTAAAAGCGACAGAGACAAGCAGGCAAGAATTACAACAAAATAATAAAATTATAACTATACTAGTTTATTTAGTTTTTGTCACAGCAGAAAACTTTTGCACCATTGTATTCAGGTAAAAATCTAGTTTCTGGTTATATACAGGTTGTCCAAAACCACCCTACACCCCGTAAAAACCAGTGAGAGAAACCTTTTCTTACAAACAACAAATAATACAGAACTAGATAAATTGGGCACAGTCTACCAAATGGTGATAATTTTAAATCCAAATTCACACTGGAAGTGGCTATTTCAGACTGGAAGTTGATTTTTTAAAATGTAAACTACCAATTTTGATCACAGAATCGGATTGTACTTTAAAAATATAACACTATTTTATACATAATTTGCCTCCAGGATTGATCTATTGACATAAAATGAGGTTACTAACCTGTCGTCAATCAGTCCTCTATTGTCTTCGATGACTATAGTTTCCCCATGACTATAACCCCATTTTCAAATCTTCTCTTCAGTCGTCAAATGTCAAACTATAGTCATCGAAGACAATAGAGGACTGATTGACGACAGGTTAGTAACCTCATTTTATGATAACACTATTGTCTAAAACATTTTTTGAAAAATACTTGTTTTCAACCTCTAATCCCCTGTTAATAGTTTTTTGTGCAACTAGGGAGCAATTGACTCACTCGAGAGAAATACATACAAATGGTTTCTCGAGTGAGGCAATTGCACTTTGCACTCGAGTTGCACATTATATTTTTCCTACAGTTACCATAAAACAAATAAATTGGTAAAGAAACGTGACAAAGTTTTACACAGAAGTGAACTTTTAATATTGCATTTTAATGATACAACAGTACAACAGCTGACCAGCTGATTTACAGCCAGTGCTGCCAACGTATTTCGCGTGCATATGACCTTGTCTGCATGTTGCGCTCACTATTTTGAGCCTTCACGTTGCAAATCTGGAGTGAGT